GTGCTTGAGTAAATTTGACATTTCTCACCCAAATAGTTTCCCAGGTGTCCAATGAAACTGGCTCACCAAAGTTCTGCGCCCATCTAATCATACAATCTTTAATTAGTTCCGTTTCTGAGTCCAATTCAACTAAAACCCCATAAATTCTCTTAATGTGGGTTTGTCTTTGATCCTTCAGTTGCTTAATAAGATTTTCATCTTCTCTAAGAAAACCCACCTTACAATCCATCTTCCATCTATCTAGTAGTTGCCTATATTGGAACCAAGAATAAGTAAAATTTTCTTGTGCTAATTCTTCCCGTGATTTTAATTGCCAGTTTTGTCCATCCCATTTAAGTAACTGTCTATAAGACACCATATCCATTTTAACCCCTCTTTTTATTCCTTCTATCGCATGCCAAGGTATAGCCCATAATGGTACTTTAAAATCACTTTTATAATATTTTCTCCAAATCCTAAGTAAAGAAATTCTTAAAATATGAGATTTAAAAGCCCAATCTATTTTTTTATTAAATATTAAATAGGCATGCCACCCATAAAGTAAATCCCATCCCTCTAGATAAAGTATCTCAGAATTTGTCAAATTTACCCAGTCACTAATTAATGTTAAAACCACCGCATCATAATATAATTTCAAATTTGGTACCTTGAGTCCGCCCCTCTCACGGAAGTCTTGCATAATTTTGAACTTAACCCTTGGTTTTTTCCCTGCCCAAATAAATTTATTGAGACCCTTCTGCCACTCATTTAAATTAATCTCATTTTTCAAAATTGGTAACATTTGAAACAAAAAAAGAAACTTGGGTAGAATATTCATTTTTATCACTGCAATTCTTCCCATGAGGGATAATTGCAGCTTTTCCCAATTCTTCAAGTCTTTCTGTACCCCGACCCACAACCTTTCATAATTATTTTTAAATAGTTTTGCATTAGAAACAGACAGCATCACCCCCAAATATTTTACCTTATTAACAATCTCAAATCCCGTCAAGTTAACCAAAATCTGCTTCTCCTGACTCGACAAATTTTTAGGTAAAATTTTAGTCTTATTTACATTAATCTTAAAACCCGAGACCAAACCATAATGGTGAATCAACTGTAATAAGTTTACTACAGAATAATCAGGTTGCGACAAAGTAACAACCAAGTCATCCGCAAAAGCTCTCAACTTATATTCTTTTTTATTAACATATATTCCTTTAATTTCCCGAGACTCTCGAATTTTAATCAATAATATTTCCAATGTTAAAACAAACAACAATGGCGATAAAGGACACCCCTGTCTAGTACCTTTCTCTATTGTGAAAACCTCCGACAAACCTCCATTAACAATAAGTTGTGCTGTTTGTTTTTGATATATTACCTTAAGGGCTTGTAATATGTTTTCACCAAAATTCATTTCTTCCATTACTCTTAGCATAAAATGCCAATTCAGTTGGTCAAATGCTTTTTCAGCATCTAAAAATATGAGCCCTGCAGGAACTTGGTTGTTCTTATCTAAGTATTCTAATAAATTAATAATTTGTCTAACATTGTTTTTCATATACCTTCCTGTTATAAACCCTGATTGATCTTTATGCACAAGATGATGCACCACCCTCATAAGCCTATTTACCAAAATTTTTACAAATATCTTATAATCCACGTTTAAAAGAGATATAGGCCTATAGTTTTTTGGTAAAGTAAGATCTTGATCCTCCTTTGGAATCAATGATATAAAAGCACTACGCCATGAAGGAGGAATCTCTAAACCCTGTAAGATACCATTAAAAAGATCATTTAATGGTTGAATCATCTCCTCCATTAAAGCTTTATAATAAACAGCTGTTAACCCATCCGTACCCGGTGCTTTCCCTAATTTCAATTGTTGAATTGCTGAGGCGATTTCCTCCTTAGTAATTAAACCATTAATTTCATATTTCTGATCCTCAGTCAGTTTAGGAAAACTTGCCTCAGCTAAATATTTATTTATATCTAACAGTTGTACATTAGTAGATTTGTATAGGTTTTGATAATAATCCAAAAAAGATTTTTTAATTAATTCCTTCTGAGAAACTAGTTTACCCTTATAATTTATTTTCTCTATTATTCTCAGTCTCTGTTTCTTTCTTAATTGATAAGCCAACCATCTCCCCGGCTTATTAGCATTACAAAATGTATTTTGTTTCATAAATAATAAATTGGTTGCAGCTTGATCTGCTATCAACATATTAAATTGTGACCTTAATAACTTTACAGATTCTTTAGTACTTTCATCAGAAGGATTTAGAATCAAAGCCCTTTCTTTTAGTTTAATTTCATCTTCAAGTTCTCTACGTTTCTGAGTCTGATTTCGCTTATAAAAATTATTCATTTTTATCAAAACACCGCGCATAAATGCTTTACCTGCATCCCATACCATTGACATTGAAGTCCCCTTATACATATTCAAAGCAAAATAGTCCTTTAAACACTCCTTTAGTTTTTGAACATTCTTCTCTTGTCTAAACAAATTTTCATTAACTCTCCAGGATCTTCTTTCCTCTTTCTCTTGAATCAACTCCATCCAAACTGGACTATGATCCGTCAGTGATCTAGGAAAAATCTTTACATTCTTTACTTTATTATACAAATCCGTGGTAATCAAGAAAAAGTCAATTCTTGAAAAAGATTGGTGTCTGTCAGAAAAAAAAGTAAAGTCTCTCTCCTCTTGATTACGTTCCCGCCAATAGTCCCTTAATTCCCAGTCTTCTTTCATATCAAAAAAGGCTTTAGGTAGCCTTGCTTGTTTAAGAAAAGGAGAGGAACCTTTCTTATCCCTTTGTGTATCTAAGACACCATTCCAATCACCCATTAATACCACCGATCTATAATCAAGCAAAGTTATTTTTTGGTGTAACTGTTTATAAAATTGTTCCTGTTGTTGATTTGGAGCATAAAGTCCAACTATAAGTACTTTCTTACCATAAATACCAAGTTCAATCATCACATATCTCCCCTGGGGATCTGATTCTACCAGACAAGCTGGCAGAAGAGCTGTGAATTATTGAAACAAAGAATATAAGAAGAGACTTGCTAAATCTGATAACATGCTCATTTATTCCAATGTTCTGCAGGTTAATCAGATGGTTATAACAAGCTCATATTATTACCTGGTTGCCTGTAAAGTATTAATGGAGAACATGGCGTATTCATGGAATATGGAGTGTTCATGGACATATGATATTTATATAGACTTTATTAATGGGTTAATCTACTTTTATTTCAAGGGTTATTCAGAGAAAACAAAATATTTTCTTAATTTGTTTTATTATGTCTCTTTCTAATATGTAAAAGCATGTATAATGATTCTTGGCTACTGCTAATCCAATAAATTTTCACATGATTGTGAAAAATCAGGTATTATTAGGATGATTTTAAAGAATATTATAGACAAATTATGTCTGCCAATTAAAATTAGTTCATGTTCTTGTTTCAAAAAATATTTATTAGAAAAAATATTTCTGATTCATATACATTTGTTTCTACAAAGCCTTGGACCCAAATGTTTATTTTGGATTATTAGATTATTGGATATTATAATTTTTGTTATACTTTAAAGCAGCGGTTCTCAACCTATTAATTTTAACAAAATTCTATCAATGTATAAATTAAGGAATAATGCTTGTTTTTAATGTGCCAATACTTTATTATATTTCCACAATTTTAATAAAATATTTTATTATCCAGAATAAAATGGACATATGATTGCATCTTTAAGTTAAGGATATCCTGCTTGAGGACACCCTGCCCCTTCAGAACATAAAGAAAAAAAATCTTCCCTTGCGCTTTCCAGCTCTTTCAAGACCTCATCCATGTCTGATGTCTGAAAAAGCAAAAACTTTGTCTTAGGCAGATCAAAAGCTTTTCTGGTTCTCAGATGTGCCTCCAAATTATTGGGGACAAAAATAGAGTTGGAGCCATATAATTATAATATACTTTTAGTTGAGGCAAAGACGCAGCCCTATGTCACAATCTCATTTTTTCCTCCAGATGCAATTCTCCATACAGAGGCTTCCACGGAGAAACTGTGTGTACTGACAGAATCTCTTCTAGGGATAGTAAGCAGTGGAAGAGGCTGCTGAATGTTGGAAGAGGCTGTGATAAGCATAGGAAATCAAAGTAATGAGCTGATTAGTTTTAATCCATCTTTTGGGCTAATCTAAATTACACAAGTAATTTACCGTGATTTATTTTATAATTCTGTAATAACCCAAAGCTATAATTCTATACCTTCATGTACCCAACTATAAGTCTTTATGAATTCAATGATCTTACATTAGAGAAAACTTGTGTAGGTGTGCAATGTACATTTGTGGTGTCACTGGATTACTGGAAATTATCTACCGTATTTTCCGGTGTATAAGACAACTTTCTAAACTCTGAAAATCTTCTCAAAAGTCAGGGGTCATCTTATACTCAGGAATATATGGGTAGCTGTTCTCTGAATTTAAAACCAATCTGCCCCCTAGTGGCCAGCCCTATTTTTTTTTTACAGAAATAAACACTAACAGGACAAAGCTTTCTAGCAGCAAAGGAGCTCCTATTGTGCTCATCTGTAAACAGAAATTCAATATTGTACTGTATTTTCTGGCGTATAAGATGACTTTCTAAACCCTGAAAATCTTCTTAAAAGTTGGGAGTCGTCTTATACGCCTAGTCGCCTTATACGCCAGAATATACGGTAATCATTGTCAGATGTAATTTATATATTGTTTTCTTAACTATTGTCAATGGTTTTCAAGTATCTTTGTTGAGATCACGCCTGCTGTATGTAACATCATACATAATGTGATAATAGAACATGTAATTATTAGCTTGGTTCCAAAACGTTATACATATAATCTTATCTAAATCCATACAGTATATACATGTAAGGATCCGTGTATTGTAACAGAAGTTGAAGGGCTAATACCTGGATTTAATACTTGGGTGTCATGTAACATAATATTTAGTAACTGTTAGTAACTAGATCTCTCCCTTCATACTGAGCCAACCCTCACTAAATTGTTTTGTGTGAGCAGGGTGAAGACTTGCTTTTTATCCTGTCTGGAGCATCATTAGAACTGTCCTGGAAGAAAACTTTTCTTGTACAAATTGTCCTAAGTATTCGTTTATATTCTCGTTGGAAATTCTGATTTAGAAGTCCATAAATGATAGCATTAAGGCAACTATTGAAGTATGCCATGTAGTAGCTGGAAATAAACAACCACTCTGGAATCTTGGAAATTATAGTTTCTGGACTGATAGCCACCACAAGGCCGATGAAATTTAATGGAGCCCAGCAGATTGCAAACAGTAAAAAGACTACAAACATGGTGATAAAGTTCCTGAAGTCGTGTGGCTTTAGTTTAGGTTTGTAGTCAGGTTTAACTCTTCTCCGTACCTGGAAAACGAGGATCCATATTTTCAGGTAACAGAATGTTACTATGGTTATTGGAAGCATGAAATGAAAAAAGACGACTGCTATGGTATAAGTGGAGCTCACTGACTGGGAGAAAGTATATGAATAAATCCTAGCATCATACTGAAGGGATCCAACAAAAAAGTTCGGCACAATGGCAACAAAAGTCAAAGTCCAAATTTGAATGACATAGCAGACAGAATTCTTTACACTGTACAACTTGTTGTACTTGAGGCTATGGCAGATGTAGCAATATCGATTAATAGCAATGCCTGTAATGTTGAAAATAGACCCAATCACGCTCAGGCCCATAAGAAATCCACTGAGTTGGCATTGTATATATCCAAAGTTCCAGCCATTATGAAAGACAGATGTCAAGACCAGAGGATATGGGTAGATAGCTACGATCAGATCGGCAATAGCTAAGTTGACCACAAAAACATTTTCTGAAAAATAAACATAATATATTTGTAAATAATTGATAGCATTTTTTAAACACAAAGTTACATAAAAACTGAATTGAAGATCAAAGCGTATGTGATATGTGCATATATAAATTAATTTCTCCCATGATAAATTTAACATATGAATTCAACCCATTAGAGCCATAGTTTTTATCATAAAAAATGTTTGATACAGCAAAACACACACATAGAGTTTCAAAAATGGTAGATGCTCTAAGTCAGACATGTCAAACTCGCGATGTCATGTGACATCGTGCAATGTATCAGGATGGTTTTGCCATTGCTGGCAATGGGGTGGGCGCGGCTTCCGGATGAAGCATCCGGTCTGTGGGCCGGAAGTTTGATACCCCTGCTCTAGGTGATTAATGCAAGTAAGACACTATTGGTTAATTATTTGAGGGCACTATAAAGACTATGTAAGATTGTTATTATTACTTAAAAACATTGATTTCTATAGATCAGTGTTTCATTATGTTTCATTCAGTAGACGTTTTCAGAAAAATATTCCCAAATCTGCCTCTAAATATATACATACATTAAAAATAACTCAACTTTTTCATGAAAATAAACTTGTGAAAACCATCAAGTTGGATAACACCATAACAATCTTTTGATCTGAAATATCCACAGTCACATAGAAAGTATTTGTGGGAAATACAAGACAAAATATTTTTTAAAATATATATATATAGAAAAGTCTTCAGATTCCTTTAAAAGGAAACCTTATATTGGAATAAATTACAAAATCTAGATCTTGAAAATTCACTAAACGAAGATAAACGTAAAGGTAAATTACATAAATTACTTTGAAAATTAAAGTTAATTAGCATACATTAGAGGAAATTGAGTATGTTTATATAATGAAAACTGTAAATGAAATTACATTTTTTATCCCAATAGATAAAAATTCACCGCTGCTAAAATGGACAGGAAACTACTTGGGCACATGTATTGAAAGCTATTTGATCTCTCTTAATATATAAAGAAAATAATATAGGTAGACATTCAGGATTACAAAACTATTAACATAGTCTCATTCTGCTTTAATAATCCTAGTTCAATTTGGATAAATGGAGCTCCAGTCTTTAGAGCACATAATGATTGATTGAAAATAAAAACATTCTAGTAACTCCCAGGACAAAATGTGATCCACTGGAGAAGGAAATGGCAAACCACTCCAGTATCTTTGCCATGAAAACCCCATGGACAGTACTAAAAGGAAAAAAGATATGACGCTGGAAGATGAGCCCCTCAGGTCGGAAGGTGTCCAATATGCTACTGGGGAAGAGCAGAGGGCTAGTACTAGTAGCGCCAGAAAGAATGAAGCGACTGGGCCAAAGCTGAAAGGACGCTCAGCTGTGGATATATCTGGTGGTGGAAGGAAAGTCCGATGCTGTAAAGATTTTTTCTCCATAGGAACCTGGAATGTAAGATCCATGAATCAAGGCAAGCTAGACGTAGTCAAAAAAGAGATGACAAGAATGAACATCGACATCTTAGGAATCAGCGAACTAAAATGGACAGGAATGGGTGAATTTAACTCAGATGACCATCAGGTATACTACTGTGGGCAAGAATCCCTCAGAAGAAATGGAGTAACCTTCATAGTCAATAAAAGAATAGGAAAAGCAATACTGGGATACAATCCCCAAAATGACAGAATGATCTCAATTCGAATCCAAGGCAAACCATTCAATATCACAATAGTCCAAATCTATGCCCCAACCACTGGTGCTGAAGAGGATGAAATTGACCGGTTCTATGAAGCCCTACAGCACCTTATAGAATTAACACCAAAAATGATGTCCTTATCATCATGGGGGATTGGAATGCTAAGGTAGGAAGCCAAAAGATAACCGGAATAACAGGCAAGTTTGGCCTTGGAGTACAAAATGAAGCAGGGCACAGGCTAATAGAATTTTGTCAAGAGAATACGATGGTCATAACAAACACTCTTTTCCAACAACCCAAGAGACGACTCTACACATGGACATCACCAGACAGTCAATATAGAAATCAGATTGACTATGTGCTCTGCAGCCAAAGATGGAGAAGCTCTATACAGTCAGTAAAAACAAGACCAGGAGCTGACTGTGGCTCTGATCATGAGCTTCTCGTTGCAAAATTTAGGCTTAAATTGAAAAAAGTAGGGAAAAGCACTAGGCCACTCAAGTATGAACTAAATCATATCCCTGATGAATATACAGTAGAGGTGACAAATAGATTTAAGGAATTAGATCTGATAGACAGAGTGCCTGAAGAACTATGGATGGAGGTTCACAACATTGTACAAGAGGTAGCAACTAAAACCATCCCAAAGAAAAAGAAATGCAAGAAAGCAAAATGGCTGTCTGAGGAAGCTTTGCAAATAGCTGAGGAAAGAAGGGAAGCAAAAGGCACAGGAGAAAGAGAAAGATACACCCAATTGAATGCAGAATTCCAGAGAATAGCTAGAAGAGATAAGAATGCCTTCTTAAATGAACAGTGCAAAGAAATCGAAGAAAACAACAGAATAGGGAGGACCAGAGATCTCTTCAAGAAAATTGGAGATATGAAGGGAATGTTTCATGCAAAAATGGGCATGATAAAGGACCAAAATGGCAGAGACCTAACAGAGGCAGAAGAGATTAAGAAGAGATGGCAAAACTACACAGAAGAACTATACAAGAATGAGCTTAACATCCCAGATAACCACAGTGAGATGGTCATTGACCTCGAACCAGACATCTTAGAATGTGAAGTGAAATGGGCCTTAGAAAATCTGAGCAACAACAAAGCTAGTGGAGGTGACAGTATTCCAGCTGAGCTATTCAAAATCTTAAAAGATGATGCAGTAAAAGTGCTACACTCAATTTGCCAGCAAATTTGGAAAACTCAACAGTGGCCACAGGAGTGGAAAAGGTCAGTTTACATTCCAATTCCAAAGAAAGGCAATGCCAAAGAATGTTCAAACTATTGCACCATTGCACTCATTTCACATGCTAGTAAAGTTATGCTTAAAATCCTACAAGCTAGACTCCAGCAGTATGTGGATCGAGAACTACCAGAAGCACAGGCAGGATTTCGAAGAGGCAGAGGAACTAGAGATCAAATTGCCAACATACGCTGGATCATGAAGAAAGCTAGGGAGTTCCAGAAAAACATCTACTTCTGCTTCATTGACTATGCAAAAGCCTTTGATTGTGTGGATCACAACAAATTGTGGCAAGTTCTTAAAGAGATGGGATTACCAGACCATCTCATCTGTCTCTTGAGAAACCTATATGCGGGTCAAGAAGCAACAGTGAGAACCGAACACGGAACCACTGATTGGTTCAAAATTGGAAAGGAGTCCGGCAAGGCTGTATACTGTCGCCCTGCCTATTTAACTTATATGCAGAGCACATCATGAGAAAGGCAGGGCTAGATGAATCAAAAGTTGGAATTAAGATTGCTGGGAGAAATATCAACAACCTAAGATATGCCGATGATACCACTCTGATGGCAGAAAGTGAAGAGGAACTAAAGAGCCTCTTGATGCGGGTGAAGAAGGAGAGTGCAAAAGTTGGCTTGAAACTCAACATTAAGAAAACCAAAATCATGGCATCTGGCCCTCTCAATTCCTTGCAAATAGATGGGGAAGAAATGGAGGTAGTGACAGATTTTATTTTTCTGGGCTCCAAGATCACCTCAGATGGGACTGCAGCCAAGAAATTAAAAGACGCTTGCTCCTGGGGAGGAAAGCTATGGCAAATCTAGGCAGCATTCTAAAAAGCAGAGACATCACCCTGCCAACAAAAGTGCGTATAGTCCAGGCCATGGTTTTCCCAGTTGCAATGTATGGCTGTGAAAGTTGGACCATAAGAAAGGCTGAGCGCAAAAGAATTGAGGCCTTTGAACTGTGGTGCTGGAGAAGACTCCTGCGAGTCCCTTGGACTGCAAGGCGTTCAAAACGGTCAGTCCTAGAAGAGATCAACCCCGACTGCTCTTTAGAAGGCCAGATCCTGAAGTTGAAACTCAAGTACTTTGGCCACCTAATGAGAAGGAAGGATTCACTGGAGAAGAGCCTAATGCTGGGGAAGATTGAGGGCAATAGAAGAAGGGGACGACAGAGAATGAGATGGCTGGATGGAGTCACTGAAGCAGTAGGTGTGAATTTGAATGGACTCCAGAAGATGGTAGAGGACAGGAAGACCTGTTGTCCATGGGGTCGCGATGGGTCGGACACGACTTCGCAAGTAACAACAACAACAAACTCCCAGGAATATTACATTCTTTTCACAATTCTTACATCCCCCTGAAATGTGAAATGCTTGCCTTTATAATCCAGATTCTATATATAAACCTACATTAAGCATACAGTATGTATAAAAATTCATGTGCTTATTAAATGGTAATTCATAAAGGCTGTTGGGATTTAGTTCTAATAGTGCAGATGGCTATATAAAAGGATGTGAATGGCTTTAAACTCAAAAGTGTTCATTTCAGCAGAAAGCATGCGTACTTCAACATATCTGTGTATCTAAAAATAGGCCATATATTTTATATTCTTAGTAAATTTCATATAGGTCTACTCAGGGCTTTTTTTCTCATAGAATGCCCAGAACGGAGTTCGGGCACCCTTTTTGGATGGAACCTTGTAGGGTAGGCAAGGCGGGTTGTATGACGTGTATGCGTTCCAGCACCTTTTTTTTTTTTTTAAAGAAAAAAAGCACTGGGTCTACTTTATTATCTTAGCTAAGAGAATTCTGGTAGCAGCTGTCATGTTTGTGGTCTGCCTTAGTCAATTGACTCTATTTAGGAGACACAAACAAGCTTTGTTAATCAAACAAGTGATCCAGATAGGCATTTAAGAACCAGGAACCCTACAAATCTGCTCTGTAAAAAAACCCATTCCCAAAGGGTTGTTCTCCTCCTGCTTAGTGCTTGGACCCAGCTGAAACTCTGTATGTAATCTAAGGTATTATGATTTGTTATTGTGTTATAATCAATGTTCATGATTA